TGATTACATAAACAAGAGATTACGTTCAAGAGTTAACATCGACTGATTTGAGAGTTGGCTTATAACGATAACGATAGTCTGTCACGATGAAGACAGTCAAAATACATGTACAACTACTACGTAATCAGCATATCATATGAAGCCGATCGATACTATATTTTGGCTTATCGTTATTGTCCCCAACAGGAGGGGGCTATTGCATTTTCTTATGAAATTGATCTTCATCAAGTCGAGTTTTTATATGAAAAAATGCGTGTTGGTTTTTTATAGTTCTAAGAGAAGTCATCATTTTTACAAACAAACCTTTCTAACAAATATAAACAAATTTCAAGAACAAAAGGTATAGTATTTAGTAGTAAAAACTATATTTTGATAGGAATGTCACATTTTAGTCCATCGTGAGTTAAAGCTGAAGTTACAAACTTAATCACCTGACAAAGATCAGCAATCAAAAAATTAAATAACGATAACGATTTACCCACGGCTAAAAAAATGTCTAACGCTAACGCTAAATGTAATAATGCATTGACCTTTGAGACGATAGAGAGTAACATGTGCGTACGTCTAATGTAACTACATGTACCGTATTTACATTTTGATATAACGATAAATACACGTATTACAATTATATGATAGTATTACAATTATATGATAGTATTACAATTATATGATAGTATTAACGTTAACGTTAATGTTAAACAATCAAATTACAGTATTTTAACGTTAAATAGTAATAGCGACAGTAGTAATAAAAATAGTGATATCAATACCAATATTAAATTACTTTCCTTTAATTTTAATAAATAGTTTATTTGACAAATGGTAACAGTTTCATGTTTGCCCATAATTAATTACTTATTCTATGATATAACGGTAATACTAACTTAAAAAAATATTTTTGCATTCATAAATCAAAAAGTTTAATATTTTTCAATTCAAAATCAAATTATAACATATCAATAAGTAATTCTCAAAAGCAACAGAAATCAATTTAAAAATATATGTAAGTAAATTCAAGTTTAATATCGATTTAAATCAATTTAAATATCAATATTAAATCACTTTTTTAATTTAGTATTATATTTATTTAACAAAACGGTAATATTTTTATATAGTCAAAATTTATTTGTATATCATAATACTAATATTTCTTGTATATTAAGTACCAAAATGGCTTATAACTTTGCGAATAATAATAATGATGATGATGATGACGATGATAAAATTATTAAATTTTCAAATATGGAAGATATTCAATGTATGGATCCTGATTATGAATATGAGATTCTTGATAATTGTGGTGACATCGATATATCAGACATTCCAACTAGTCCAACCAATACAATAACTGAAAGTGATGGTGAAAATTTTGGTGATTTTTGTATCGACGATCTTACTTTTGATGAAAAATCTTTTCAACTTGCACGAAGTTATGCAATTTCAAATAAAGATAATAAAATAGTCGAAGAAGAATATGATATTGACTGGTTGGCATCTGAGTTAGATACAGCTACAGAGACCAATTCTATATGAAGCGAATCAATTGGTGATGATATAGATGAGCATTCAGCGTTAGATTATGAAATCCGTGATAATGAAAAGATTAAAGATTTTAATAACAAATGTGTTATTATTGATTTTGTAAATGGCGAAGTTAAGAAATGTGACAATCCAGTTTTTCGACCAATTAAACAACTTGTTGGTCTTTGGGAGCTTGATCATAGCACAGTAGAAGAGGCATTACAAATAAAGTCTCAAAATGCTTTACATTTTTTAGGAGTATGTTCATCACACTTTAATTTTGATCAAGATGGATTACATATAAGAGGTTTGAAACAAAATATCTCAACAGAAAAAAGCTGGATACATAAACGACGTTGTCTTTTTTGCAATCATGATAAATATTTTTTTAGTCGAAATGGTCAATGTATAAATCATTCCTGGAAATTGCTAGATAAAAATATACAAATTCCATGTTCTGGAATAAAAGTTTGTCCAACATTTATAGAAAATAACTTTACTCAGCATTCAACAAAAAGTACACGTGCTCGTTATATTTGTTTTACTTGTTACCACATGGAAGGTGGACATTTCTTTCAAAGAAGTGGACGAGGTAGAGGTTCAAAACTATATTCATGCAAAGAACATCATTTGACAGATTATTCCAAATCACTTGAACTTATGGGAAGATGGATTCAATTAATGGCAAAAAGTGAAAGCACAACTACTCAAGCTTTTCTTATCGAAGAAATTTTTACAGCAATTACAAATTTTTTTGAAAAAAAGAAAAAAAGAACTCAAAATCTCGAAAATACGCCATCTGATTTTATACAACCAAAACCTCTCAGTCTTATGACTATCAAGATATGTTTACGATTACAAAAAATTAATCTTAATACACTTAAAGAATCATGCAAAATTTATGAAATAATTAAAGAAAATCCTGAAAAAGCTGGTGAGGCTTTTGGTCAAGTAATTTGGAATTCAAGATCTGATGTTCGTGCAAAAAAATATGATCTGGAAAATCCCACAACTTTAACTCAATATCGAACTGGATTTCCTTTAACAATTAAGAATTTTCTTGACAATATTTTAATCTATTTGCAAAAGAAAAAATGGAAAGTCATACAAAAAAAACAAAAACAACGAAAACTAATTACTAAAGAATTTGATAATGATCGAGCAATAAAAATTTCAACATTTTTAACATCACTTTTGCTAACGGTGGCATTTCCAAATATTAATGTGTGGTTAACACATGTTTTAAGCTCACTTTGTCAGAAACCACAACTTCAGTCATCACTTTATTCTATATTATGTGTTGCAAATATTGTTTCACATACTTCAAGATATGAAAGAAGATTGGAAAAAGCACGACAATTAATTTATAATCCTAAAGAGAAAATATTACACAGTAATAATATATGGAATGTTAGTGTAATAGATAATATAGATTTTCGAGAGCAAACATTCATGTATGATAATATTTTTGATGTAACCCGAAGAACATCTCATGCAATATTAAGAATGGTTTTCCAATTTCCGTTAACACAATCATTGTCAACAATACTTTCAGGAGTTGATTTAAATAAGAAATTTAATTTTGAAGTTGGAATTTCATCTTTCACCAACAATGAATTATCAAGCTTTCAGAATATATTTATAGATTTATTAGAAACTCAAAAAACAGAATTTGATATCAACAACATACTTACAGAAGTGAAAAAATTTATCAGCATGGATAATAATTTTCCACCACCCAATGTTATAATTTTAGAGCCTGGTGATAATCCAAACAATACTGAAAGTGTGCAAAATGCTGCACTAATGTATTTAAATGATGTTGGTTTGGAATCAACTGGATTTATTACTTTAGTTGCTGATGAAGCAATTTATAGAAGATTATACGGATTGCATGAATCAAAAGAATTTCATTTTCTTCTTGGTGGTTGGCATACAAGTAAATCCATGTGTTCGACTCTTATAGCAATATTTTCTGGATATGGTATTTTTAAACTTGCTGCAATTCTTGGCGTACGTTATTTTGATAAGTTAGAAAAGGTTATTGATTATCAGGCAACATGTAGAGTCTTAGAATTGATATGGGCAGCAACAGGCATTGCAATATTTGATATTATCAAAAAAAAGAATTGTTTATTAATAGATCTTTTAAATGAAGGAAATAATATACTAAAAGTTTGGTATTTATTTTTTCAATGGTCTAGTTTCTGGTTGGGTCATCGATTAGGAATACGACATGGAAATTATGAAATGCAAATAAAAAATCTAAAAGCATTTGCTCCATTATTTCCTGTTGCTGGACGATCAAATTATGCTCAATCTGTTACTTATTTTATTTCACAAATTGAAAATAATCCAAAACTAGAAATATTACTCAAGCATATAAGTTCTGTCAATCTTACACGTTCTGGACACTATTTTGCATTTGACGAGGCATTGGAACGATTTGGAGTAAAATACGTTAAGCAAAATATTGATCAGTGTTTAGGAAATACCAATGATCTTAAGTTACGAATATCATCTGTTCAAGCAGAGCGTGAAAGATTAAATTTATTACTTAGTGAATATGTAGGAGACAATTTTTTAATACATAGTGAACATAATATAAAATCACGACAAGATGCATTATGGAAGCTCATTACAGAATTAGAATCAGCATTTAATTTACAGGATCCATCTAAACATGATTTATTCTATGAAACTACACAAAATAATGAGAAAGGATTTGAAAGGCTTTTCAAATGTTATGAAATAGGAAAACAGCGACTTTTTAAAATTTATAAACAAGATGTTGAAAAGTCTGAACAACGTATAACAACTGGACGCTGAGCCCGAGAGGTTGTTATTACTTCATTTGCTCAACAAAGTATAGAACAAAAAATTCGCAAAAAAGAAGAACAGAAAAGTCGCAAAAAAGTCACAAAAAAAAGAAAACCAACTGATGAAATATAAACTTTTTAGAAAATCTGGTTAGTATTGATTTTATTATCTATTATGCTTGTTTTTTAAACTAAATTTATTGTTATACTTAATTAAATTGTTTTTTGTAATTAATTTTGAACTACTACTAGATATGATTAACGTTAAGTAGTTAATTATGCTAATAATTAAATCAAATAATAAATGTAATTAGCATTAAGCTTTATTATATATGATTTATTTTATTTTATATTTAAGACACTAACGCTAATATTTTTAGTTAGTTTTCATTTTTATATAGTTTTATTAAGATTTTATTAAGTGATTTTATAAGACATAATTAGTAAATTAATTTTTGAATATTGTTTATAAATATGTATATATCGATATAATACAAATTTTATTATTATAATATTAAATAAAGTTCAATATCTTTACAAAATAATTTATTCAATACATATATGCATATATATCATTTTTAATTAATTTCAAGAAGTTCAATATCTTTACAAAATAATTTATTCAATATATATAAGCGTATATATCATTTTTGATTAATTTGGAGAAGTACCGATACTGGATTATTCAGAAAAGTAATTCTTTTATCTACTACTTTTGTCCAAGTAACTTTACCCACGTACAAGGAGGGTCTGTACTACCGATCGTCAAATGACTCAATGATTCACCGTCTCTCCCGAACTTGAAAGCGAATTGACGTGAATCAATTAAACCTTGTTCTTTAAGTGAGGTTATTATTTTTTGTCCGTATCCCATTCCCATTAAACCATCGAATGGAGTAGAAATAAATTCACTAAAATTGATTTTATCCGCAATCCCAAAATTTTGGTTTGTAAACCTAAGACCTGTAATAATTAAATCTGATGACGCTTCAATTCCTGATATTTTACCCCCTCCGTAGGAAAACTAAAAGGGTGATTGCGGTTTTTAAATTTTGTATCTTGCTTATTGTTATATCTTTGTTTTCCTTTACATTCAGGTGAATTACAAGTTGTACTTGGAATCAAAAGAGCACTAGACCCGGTGTCGAATATAACGTTAAAAGATTGTGTTGGTTCTCCAATTTCTATTGGTTCATAATATGCATCTTGATAACTGTATACGTAGTCGTTCATCAAAAATTGCTCTTTTTAATAAATTAAACAAGCCAGGATGACTATTATTTGATGCTTCAACAAAAAAGACTAAGAAATGAACAAGAATAAGTGCATGTTGAAACTTAAATACATAGATATAAAGATGATTTTTAAGGTAATAGACTCATTAAATATTAAATGGTTTCATATGATTCTGTACAGGCCTTAACAAATGAAAAATGGTTTAAGATTTTTAAATTCGTGAGTTGTGGAGTCATTTCAGTTATATAAGAAAAGTTTAAACATTAGCGGTCTTTTTTATCGTGCGGGAAAAAATGATAAGTTATTAAATAAGGAAATGGCGTAACAATTTACCATGTTTGGAACAAAGGCTTGATGCAATTTCGTTGATATGATATGGTGCATAACATCTAAAGTCATCAAACGTTTGTATTTTATAAAATGTATAAACTTCTTTACTAAGAAGTAAATACAAAATTTAATCCGTGAATATGATAGAATAGGCCCTTTCCGAGCATATTCACGGTTTAAATGTTGTATTTACTTCTTAATAAAGAAGTTTATACATTTTATAAAATACAAACGTTTGATGACTTTAGATGTTATGCACCATACTATATCTAAATTTTTACCATTTATGTAACTCTTACGAAATGGATAATCTTTAAACATGTGAACACCCTTCACGAATAATCATAGGGACATGTGGCTCAAAATGTCACTCCTATGCAATCTCACTTGTCATTTAATTTTCGTTTAGCTTTATAGGATGCATATATGTAAAATTTCAAGAAAAAAATAAAAAGGCTCGATTATCTTAATTTTAATTGACATTCATTTTTAGAAGAATCCCCCCGGACACACCGCACTTGCAGTGATCAACACATTTTTTAAAATCCAACCACCCAAACATCAAACACACTTCAACTCCGGCGACGATATCAGGCGTGCATTCGCACGCTTCATGACATACGGTGGTGTCACCATTCAAAACTTCTTGGTCGCATGCCAGCGCACACTCATGCTTTGGCGTCGGTTTCGGAATTGGGTTCGTATTTGGATTCGGATAGATTGGAACTGGAGGAAGTGGATAAATTTGAGACTTGGTTGAAGGAACACCACCGAAAATAGTCAAGATGAGTAAGAGAAGATTTAATTTCATTGTTAATTTTCATTGTGAAAATTGTGAAAATTCTGAAGGGTGTATTTATAAAAAATTACGGATCATAAATGCTGATTCTTTGTAATATCTAATGACAAATCAACTGTCTGTCATTTTTAATAGCGCTAGTACATATGTACGTACGTATTTGATTTTAGCAAATTCATGACAGGTTCGATCACGATTGGAATAAAAAAAACCATGATGTAAATCATTAACCAATATAATTTTCTGGACTAATGAAAAGTTAACTAGTTTGTAAAAAGATGGTTTAAAAAATATTATAGTTATTGTAATGATAATTAAATGATTAAAAAGTAGAAAACTTGAAATTTAATTCTAATT